CTCTTACAATAGAACTTTTCTTCCTGGGACCTATAGCACTTATTAAATTGATCTTGTAATCTGAAACTGAATATATTCAATACTTTGTTTTTTACTAACCATCAGACCTAACACATGCACCAATCAGGCATTAGGATCTTTGTATATAAGTGCTGGGGGTTATCCTATGCAGGCCACGTTACAGGTAACCTCAGATAAAGTATATAAGAGGGAGCTGTATTTCATTAATTATTTTTTTTTTGCAAAGTGGAGGTTTCACCAAAGGTGTCTACACAGACCACCAGCACCAATATGTCAGATCATAAAAAATGAAGACCAGTATAGTTCTGAAAAACTTTATATGGTACCTGAAGAGTCTATTCAAGGGTTTGAAGTGGGATGATGAGATCTGAAAAAGAAAACCATGTTTGGTTAGCAGTAGGGTGACCATAGACTCAGAGCTGGCAGAATGGCCCCTCTTATGTCCTATCATTGTGTGATGTTGTCATAACCTGGAGTTTTGTGCTCACCCGTACTGTCACCTCATGTGCATGGCTTCACTTGACATGTCCATGGAGATATTATGGAGATTATTATTACTTGTGGGTTTCAGCCCTAGTGAGTTGCAGGAACAGGGTCCTTTGTGTGCTGTTTGCAGTCTCCTCTCAACCTTCTACAACTGAAAAGATGGACACTGCTCAAGACTAACATTGTAGCCACTTTGACATCTCCTTGGTGGATATCCAATGGTACTTCATTTCAGGGGAAGGGTATTGATGTACAGAAATATACTATCAATACTACACACACAAACCCTGCTTCTTATACAATGACAGGCACCTATAATGATCAAAACTGAAACAAAAACGATACTAGTGTATGACAACCCGCTTGTCATGTATCCATTAATATCCATTGTACGTATGGTAGGTAACTCCCATCATATTCATGGCTGCTTTGGTTGTTTCTACTTCTCCTTTTAACTAAACAGTAAACAATTAATTGATTTTTTTTAGATCTATAATCAGACCAATAGAAAGATCTTAATGGGAAGATTTAGGACAGACTGAACTCCCCGTTATTAACGGACATTGAGGGGGATTTATCAAAACTGGAGTAGACAGAATCTGGAGCAGTTGCCCATGGTAACCAATCAGCTTCTCTCTTCAGTTTGTTCAGTTAATCTTTGAAAATAAAAGATAGAAGCTGATTGGTGGCCCTGGGCAACTGCTCCAGGTACTTCCTGCTCCAGTTTTGATAAATTACCCTCAATATATAAAGCATCTAAAAAACTGTAAGCTGCCATGTTTTTTTTTAATGTATGCTATAAATGTAACAAATATAAATCTATGCTGATGCTGTTTCTTCTTTTAATACCAGTATCAAGAATTTTAATTTGAATAAATAAACAATAGTGGTATAGTAGCAATCCTTGTAGACAATGGCCACTTCAGACCCATCCATAGACTGTATGATATCCATCTGCACAGTACTTAACAAGAACAATCTTTATTGGTAATACCATTCCTGGGCAAAGATACAATTGTACCCGAGCCAGCAAACCTACAAAACTCTGGATTTCATCATATTGTTTGTATGCATGCCAATCTTATGGAACCGGGATGAGCGGAAAGACCCTGATTCAGTGTGTGCTCCGGATGATCTCTCTGAAGACTATAAGAAGAACTTTACCTACATGTCTCCCAAGACATTTACTTTTAAGACACGCCAACTGTACAGGTGCTTATTTCAGCTATCAGTGGAACTTTCAAGATCTCAAATGGCTGGTGTCATAGTTGATCACATATGCAGCACCAGCGGTGTCCTTAGACCCTTGGTTCTCAACTGGTGGATCGCGACCCAAAAGTGGGTCACAACCTCTTGTTCAGTGGGTGGCTGTGTGCTTTTCACTGCGCTATTGGAGATGCTCCTCAGCCTCCCCCTAGCACAGCACTGTCAGTTTTTGCACTTAGCTGCCATTCAAAATATGCTGGTGGGGTGTGCTGGGCTGGGGGTATGGCCTCCGGGGGAGCTCCGTCCATACGTGCATTGCTTACAGCTCACTTGCGTGCCCTGTAGAGGTGAAGATTTTTTTTGGGAGTGTGTGTGAGAATGTGTCTGTGGTTGTGTGTGTCTGTCAGTGTTTTTGAAGGCCTGTTCACACTAGTACAGTGCGTTAATCCCACAGTCTCCTGCGATTATCGCAATGTACCACACAATCACACCTATCGTGTATTCTGGTGTGGGAGGTGCGTTGAATGGCACATCAAATGCACCTCCCGCTCACCTGCAATATTGTGTGTTCCAGTGCGGTGTGACTTGGGTTGCGACTTATTCTAAGATGGCGCCTTCCTTGGCTGTAAGGGATTGGAGGGTGTAGTTTTGCTTTAGGAAACTTTATACTGGACTGTTTTTTTATGGCGCCACTTACAGAACTGTATAATCAATTATTAGGAAATCTTCCTTTTATTATTAGACAATTTCTAAAAATCATAAAAAGATAATGCAAACCACAGGGCTCCGTATGCATTACAATGAAGGTATTCTTTTGCCGCACTCATAAATAAGATAACACGTCATTCCCAGGGCTGTCTTTAATTTTGATTGGCCCCTATGCAAACATTTTCTTCTTTCTATTAATTAGAATACTTTTTATGGATTACAACTCTTGGCACAGGTAGAAACATTGGATGCTGAAATGATATTGTACACAAGGAATACAATACTATTACACTGAAATAAAGTTGTTGTTTTTTTAAACGGCCGTGTGTAAAACCAGTAGATCCTTTATAGAAAGGTTGTATGTCAGTGGCTCTGCCATGCACAGTGGTGCAGTATGAGCAGTGCAGTTCCTGGTGTGTCCGGTAGGGGGAGTGCGGCGCGGAGGGCTCTCCTCTCTGTGGATGCTGGGACGGCTGTACATGTTATCAGGCGGCACGTGTGACTTCCTCCGCTCCGTGCGGATCTCCCTGTAATTCCGGACAACACCGGCACCCGAACTGAACCTGTCCGAACACATGGTGGGAGGGGAAAGATGGCAGCAGGGTTCAAGTGAGTATGAGACAGAGCAGCGATTATCATGATTTACACAGTGCTAAGCTCTGAGCACGAGGGGAGATACAGTCCTCACCCTTCTCTTGTAGGGAATGGGGGTGTGACTCATGGTTGGAATGAGAGGTACCCCATTATTGGACTGGGGGTGACCCATGACTGGAATGAGGGGTGACCCATGATTGGACTG